AATCGGATTATAGAGACCAGATAAGGCGAGGCGAGACGAAACAAGATGAGGCGAGATGAAACGAGACACGACGCGACGAGATGAGACGAGAAGAGAGAATGATTTTCTGACAATGAAACGAGACGGGAAAATGCAGTTTCTCGTCTCGTGGCATCACTGGTTAGGAGAGTAAAGTTGATTTTAGAACTTTAATGGATTGTCAAAAAATGCGTCAATCACCAAAACACGTCTCATGATTAAATATCTACCCGGGTAACTGAATAATCTTCAAGTGTCTTGAATTGAGACAAAAGAAATGTCTTAAATTTGATGACTTGTCTTCGAAGACATAAAAAACCTTGTCTATTACACGTATTGTTTTCACATGGACATAACGTCTGATTTTAAGACATTTAAGTTATCTATAACGTCTTCGATTAAAAGATCTTGAAGGCACTACTTCTCGATTCATCATTCTCCTTACTTTCAAAGACTTTACATTCTCCCGTTATATCTCGATCAAATGAATCCCTTCAATCATCCCCCAAATATTTTTAACCCTGTGACACATCCGTCGGTGAATCTTCACCCCGGAACGACACATCAGACGCGTGACTTTTTCTCGGTTCGTCAATTAAAATTAAATTTTGAATGATGATTGTCATTGTGCAAGGCCATGCGTAACAATCTGATCTTACATTGCGATAATTACTCAACGGGGCGTGAACAAAGGGATATCCCACGACGAATTACAATCCAGCACCATCTCCAGAACCCTTTAAAAAGCCATTAAACCGACTCGATGATTACAGGGGACGGGTAACTTTTCGATGTATGCAATAATATCTCATAATGAAAAGCGAAGCCCATGTAGTTTGGCCGGGATATATCAGTCAGACTTAGGCGATCTGTCAGCCGCGGTGGAGATATGCATATGTATGGGGTTTCGGTGGATTGTAAACGCGCCCTGTAAAAAAACCCTTTAAATAAAAAGAATTCGAGGGGTTGGAAAATCTCAACCCTTTTATAACGGTCACGTGACCTGACAGGATAGCGCGAGGAAACAGGCAAGCGGCACGTGACCCTCAGACTCCGGTGTTTTTAGATACGCGTGTCAAATCCCAAAACGCTTCGGCCCCGCTGCCCGCACCCAATCCACACTACGGTACTGTCTATTTTTTCAAGCCCGGTTTCACTTTCTTTCGGGGCGGTTTTTAGGTACCATCAGCTTCTTTCGACAATGGCATTGGGGGTGCGTCAAACCGTAAGTACTGGCTTGGGTTTCGGATTATGGATGTGTTTTACATTCAACTGACACGTTATTTATTTGGTGAGTCTCAGTTTCAATGGCATTTTGAAATCTATTCGAGAAAGAAAAGACATGAATCATAATTTTTGTTGTTGTTATAACAATAAAAAAATTCCTTTTGATCAGTAGAAAAAGTACTTGTACGCAGTACCAAGGGGTTTCTGGGGACAAGTCACATTTTTGTATACTTCCTCTATCAGATGTGGTACTTCACCGAAGGACACAAAAAGTACTTGGGACGAGTATTTTTAGAACTTTTCAAAAGTGAACTTCCCCCAGGTACCGGTTTTTACTAGTGAGAAGTAATTTTTTTTTTATCTACCAATTATTAAAAAAAGAAGATAATTTCAGAAAAAGTCTTTCCAACACATAATCGAATCTATTTTTCTATGGACGCATTAAAGGAGTTTCAACCACCACATTTGAATCCCTAGTAGACACTTTCAACATCCCCAGTGCCAATATAAGGGATTCAAAAGTGCAGGGACAAATGCCACGTAGTGGGAAAACTTTTCTCGAATTGAAAAGAAAATAGAGGAATGCCTGAAGGAGAGAAGGGGTCATGGACCCTGTCCCCCAGCTAATTCTTTTTCCCTCGGGAATATCTCCCCCTTCCGTCCCTCTCTACCCAGTGACGTCAGTGAGTCCAGCCTCGAGGTCTTGGCAAATCGCGGAAGACGCGCACGTTAATGGCCTCGTAAAAGTTAACGACAATGTTCCACCCACGAATTCCTCCCCCCCCCCCTTCCCTTCTTTTTTCTAGTTGGTTCGCGTCCATCCTGTTATGTCCTTTCTTCCTAACCTCATACCGCCGGCCACCCATAGATTCCTGAAACCGGCGTCTACCTAGAGAAAAGAGCGCGTTTCACGTCCTAAATTAGTGGCTCGGACGTGGAATTAATTTCAACAGGCGTCCAATGGTAGTTTGCCGCACGGATTTGTCTGGTGGGATCTTTATAAGCCGTCCAAAAGGCCAGCAGCGAGTAGCCAAAGTGATTGTATCGGATATCCGATGGGAATCGACCGAGGGTATGCCATTAACCAACTCCCTCAACTCGGAGAGAAAAACTTTCCCCACACTGGCAATTCTCGATACTTATTTTACACTTGTAACTGCCAATTTCCGGGATTAAAACATTCCGTACGACTTCAATATGAGAATTCCCAATCAATTTTTCCCACCGTGAAAAGTCTCGATTACTTTCTCTAATTCAATTGAAACCTTCAGCTGCCAACAATCCCATATTTTTTCCACAAACTTACAACAGTCTGATTAAAGTAACACTCAGTGAAGGGGTTGAATAAAGGGAAAAGTGCGGTTAATGCTCCGTGAATTTGTCGAGTCTTTATCTCAACCACGAGAAAAGAAATTGAGAAGCCTTAGCCCAACGCATCTCTCCCGTGGGCACGATAATTGGAAGGGGTGCTTAGCATATTTCTGGTTCTAATCACAGACACCAGTCGCTAAGTAAAGGGTGGTTTAAAGTCTCTCCTCTCCTCAATTTCACCGACCTCTCTCTCTCCCCCTCTCTCCCCTGGTGCCTCATTACCACCATCTTCATCGCAGTGTTCTGTGGCCGTGCGGCTGTATTGCCTGCGCCCAGAGCCACTGGCTCTGCAACACCCCTTGTTGTATTCGAGATAGGGCTTAGGGAGCTACCAATCTGCTTACAACCCCCTTAGCTTGAATAATTAACAGCGAGAGTGGCGGTGAGGGGCCATCGTATGCGACTTTTTGGCCGTGCCATTTATTATAAAAACCACCTTGTTCGTTAACTTAGAATTTGATTCTGAATGGGTATTTGAATAAGATTAAGAACAGGTACATTATTCACCCTGTGGTTTTTTTTAGATTTCGTCATTTATCTTTTTTTTAATTCGATGGGATTTAAATAAAGTGGAATTTTTTGCTATTGAAGATTTTCTCACCCCTTTTTATTATAATAATCTGGTTGTATTCATATTTTTTTACGTGGAGCCTATTTGGATTTTATATTCGACTGATTATGACTGACTTATTGGATTTTATGGTGTAATCGACCAGGATTTGAACTCGAAACCTTTGGGACGTGAATCGAGAGTCGAAGTAAAGATAATAAATAGTTTTCGCCTTTATCGACCACGTGGCGCCTCAGTCGCATGTAGAACGACATTTTGAGATGTCAAGTTAGCGCAAAATGGCGAATTGTATAGCGAGATTAATTTTTGTGTCGAAGCAACAATTGATTTTGTTCGATTAAAATGACAATATATTTCCACGGGATATTTCTCCTTTAATTTATACCTCATTTTGAATTCTTCAATCATGAATTCTTTTCAATGCAGTGATATATTGTTTAAACTCCTCAACCAGTTATCAATGAGATACGACAAATTATTACAAAATGTAAATATTTATGTATCAAACACGAATGCAAGTACAAAACCCTACTTTTTTCGCTACTTTCATATTCAAATCTGAATGGGGATTCCCCTGAACTATTTTTTCAAGATTCCATCATTGATCATTTCTCCAATCTTGCGCAACTCAAACAAACCCTACTTTTTCCCAGAAAACCCCCTCCTAATCATCACGTATTCTCATTATAATAATGTTTTTGTCAACTGTCGCAACTCATTACTCTTCCAAAAGGGTTTCATCCAAACAATCCAGCGCATTGTTATGGGAATCACAGGTCATTAATCCTCCGATCATTAGTCGCACATCACAATCTTGTACAAAATTCGAGCGAGCATGCAGTGTACAGAAGCATTCACGCATAAATCTCCCAACGGCATCAACGCACATAGATACGACAGAAATATTTATCAGGCAACCGATGGATTCTCATAAACTGTTTGCACTGGTGGGGTCCATTGGTCTGTGTGTGTGGCGTTTCATTTGCCTAAGCCAGGAATTTCAAATGACGTAAATTCGTCAGGCCGATTTGGTCCATGCAATGAGGATTAACGGTAATTCCGAATATTTCATTATCGGGGGAATTCGAATTGAACAGTTAAATATTTTTGTTTTCCCACACAGAAAGGATAATCTGGTAGAAATAGCGTAACCCTGGGCTCTTAAAATAAGAACCTCAGAGTTCTTGATTTCCGTATCCAACGGTTCTTATTTTAAGAACCTAAAGTACTGGATTCTCCTGAAGATGACAGAACTAGAACTTTTTCTCAGACTCTCCGAGAAACATCACTAGAATCACGAGCCTATTCTTGGAAACCAGAAACTTTTTTTCTCTGTAGACAACCAAAAAGTTGAAAATATCTCTCTCTCCAAGCGACGATGAATGATGGAAATGGAAACAAAAAGAGAGGACTAGCTCCTGTCTCCGGCTCCCGCATAAAACGCTTAATTCGCTGATACGGATTTGCAATTACTCTGATTTGTCGGGTGTCTGAGCTTGCGCCCATCAGCCATCCAAAAGGGGATCAGTGAAACGTTACTTTTCATTGCGAGGGTCGTTAGGTTTATTACAAATTTCAGAGCCATCCGGTTTCACGGTCCGAGCACTCTGTGACGGATTATAGCCTTCAAGTGGCTACATGGAATTTGATTAATCTTGGAGAGATATTAATATCCTCTCGTTCTAATTAATAATCCAATGTTTGGTGATAAATCCGAGGAATGCGCATCAGACGTTTCATTAAGAAATTCATCGGATCGAGATGATGAAAAAATTGACACCACAAGTGCACAAATAAAGAATTCAGATTGATATTGAGTCATACAACTTTTATTGAATAGTTATCGTGTTTTCAAAGTATCAAATAGAATAAATTCAATCCCTGGTATCAACACAGAATCGTTAATTCCCAAGCGCGATGACCTCGAGCTATTTCCTCTTTTATCCATCCCATGGTGGTGCACGCTGACTGCGTAAGTACAATCGCTTTTACTCCATACTGTATTAAACCCCTACAGGTTGGTGAGGGGTTGGAGAAAGATCATTATCAGAGGCTTAACCACGCGAGAATTTTTAATCAGAGGGTACACCAACCCTTCGTCGTAATACCCCTCTCTCTCTTCCATCCGCATTCGTATTTCCAACGATGATACGCATGATAATTGTCACAAGGGCTTATCGAATTTATTCTCATGTAAATAAAACGAATAGTCATAACATTTTTTGATATTGGGCTATTGCCCGGAGGCGCCAGATCTAGCCATACGTCGCAGTTCCTTCTTCGCAATTTTTCCCGCATCTGTATGCGGCATCTCATCTAGGAAGACGACACCTCCCCTCAAGGCCATATGGTCTGGTAGATTCTGAGCAACTAGCTCAGTTATTTCATGTTCAGTGATCTGAAGAGGAACATTCACGTGATTATTCAGAATACGATGTAGGAGAGAACATTTGAATGTTTGAATCTTACAGTTGCTTTCGGATGCTTCGACACAAAAGCTATTGGATGCTCGGCATCAGTCGGATGGGGCTTGGCCACCACTGCCACTTCAAAGACTCCAGGATGCTTCAGGATGACTCCCTCTATTACGCCTGGTATAATGTGAATGTTATTTCTGAATTTAATCAGCTCCTTCAGGCGATCGACGATGAAGATGTCGCCGTCTTCGTCGTAATATGCTAAATCCCCCGTGCGGAACCATCCTGAAAGAAATTCAAGAGTGAACGTTGTCAATTGTCCTCACCATTTGGTGTATTGTGATGTCTGATTTTCATGTTACCCTCTTCATCAAAAGCTGCCTTGGTATTCTGATCATCTTTGTAATATCTCAGCATCGCCCCTGCAATCTTGACGTACATTTCTCCCTCTTCATTCGGCCCTAATATTTTTCCACTCTCCGGATCAACTATCTTTATTTCACAGTGCGGAGCAACTTGTCCGCATGACGTCAACTTTCTAATTTTCTTCCGACGACAGCATATGAAACCGGCTTCAGTGGAACCTACATCATCCAAAAGACTTTAGAACGCATAATCTTCGAACCTAAAACAGCTGCACTGTAACAACTGTTGTCTTCAAGATATCTTAATTTGAGACTTCTAATGTAACCAAAACTATCAGCGGAAAAATCACTGGATCATTTCATGACTTGGTTGACCGTTGAGGAAAAAAGAATGAAGTATTTGGAAAAACAAAGAAGACATCATAGCTTTCAACAAAAGAATGCACGCCTCCATGTCTTAATTTGATGCATTAAACGGGACTTAAATTCAGACAACAGCGTGTCAATTCCAGAAACTATATTTTTTCATATTGCTTAGAATATCTATCTGTATTTTGGGCCAGATGTTACCGTATGCATTCACTACTAAGGCGTTTGGAAAGACATCCATCAGAAACTCTTCGACCTCTGGGAGCATACCAACTCCACCAAACATCACTATCTTAACGGATGAAAAATCGTACTTCTTGATCGATTCAATTTTCGACATTCTGGCAGCTATTGCAGTGTTCGACGTCAGCATTCTGGTGACCTATTCAGATAGATCATTGTTGATCAGAAATTTAGGTACAAACATTATTAGTACCAAGTTACCTTGTGCTTCTCCAGTATTTGGGCAATGATTTCTTCAGTTAGACCAGTGCAAAGTACAGCCGTAGAGCAGCGGATTACAGTCGCTAACATGTTGCACACTCCAGTCGTCCAGCATATGGCAGGAGCCCAGAAATTGATCGAGGGTTCTTCCGGAATTGGATTCATGTCGAGAATAATTCGTTTGTAACTTAGGACTGCGCCTTTAGGGTACCCTGTCGTCCCGGATGTGTAAGCGATCCAGAATGGTTCGTCCATATCTGTCAGATCTTTGGGCTGAAATTTAGCTACTTCAGATGCACTTTGGGAGTTCAGGATTTGGGCGAGGGATTCGAAACCAGGGGTTTCAAGGAAGGCAATGATCTTCGCGGTCGATCCGACTTCATCGACTGCTTGTTTGATGGTTCCTATCGTCACATCGTCAGCAAAAATGATCTTCGGTTGAGTGAGATTTAGGAAGTACTTTGCCAAATCTGGAAGGCAGCGAGACTTTAGGAGAACGTCTCAGAATTGTTGAATGTGGCTTGAGAAATTTTTTACGTATGAAAGCATTTAATAGAAAAATCTAGCACTTTCTAACACTTCTATTGGAATTCTATAAAAATTCTGTTGACAAATTCCATTTGTTGAAAAATAATGGCACTATCCCTTGCGTTTTTGAATCAACATTTTCCTGTAGAAAAAACTCTGTAGATGATGATTTGTCTAATGTAACTTATTCTGTTAGAATTTTTTTCTCTAAGAATTTCTGAGCATGAATTTTATAATTTTTTTCTTGGTTTTCATTATGAGAAAAAAATTAAAATACAAAGGAATAAGGTGAGAAAATTTGTGATTAATAATTTCGGTAGAAAAACGAAAATCAATTGAATTGTTACTACTAAATATCCCTTAACGGAACGTTACATCTTCAATAAATTTAACGCAAAAAACGAATATAATTTTTTAATAGATTTCCAACGGAAATTCAATAGCCCTAGCTTTTCTCTTCAATTTTTGTATACGTGTTACCGTAGTCTAGAACCGCATTCCACCAGGGGTTCATGATGTATCCGGTAAGAATGATGGCTAACACTGGGACAAACGTGTCCAGATGATTGTACGTGCATATTCCAATGACATCATCAGGCTTGAGGTTCTGAGTTTTCAACCACAGGGCACATCTGACGATGCGATCAGACAGTTCACGATATGTGTCTTTTCTATTCGTGACAGCATCAATCTAAAAGTGATATACAATTGCTTTTCTTATATTGCCTGATATTATTTTCGCACTATCGATTAAATTCTTCGAAATTTCCTCGTTAATAACAGGTCAATTTTCAACATTAGAATTTATGATTAAATTTACAATAAAACTATTAATAAATTATTTTCCAAATTTTGTGAGTAATGTGCAATTACTGAAGGATAATTTCCATAAATCTCAAGGATTTTGATCATTAGATCACCCTAAAATATTATTTTTTCAATTTTTTTAATAAAATAAATTTAAAGACAAATCAAAATAAAAATTTCTAATTTCGAGGGAAAATTCCTCGGCTAAAATAAATCATAGAACTCACTTGTGCGATGCGATCTGGAAATTTTCCGAGTCTCTCCAACAAAAAAGATCTATACCGGTGCCATTCCGGTTGAGTTTCAACAACTCCTCTCCAAATTCCACAATCGTAAACCGGCTCTTTCTAAAATCACATGACGCCTGCAAAACAATGGAAACATACTCATGAAGATTACTTACGTTCGAATTTTCCATTGTAGGTATCACTCGAGAAAGTTCTTCCCAAATACGTCACAGCACTATTCTCAATTGAGAGGTCACAGCCGAGCCTCTGCAAATTACCCGCGCTATTGAGCACACTGTGTATTAAATGTACGTCCCAAAAATGATAAAACGTTATCACATTCAATTGAGATTCTACAAATCGACTAATGATAATTAATCGTCACGAAGAAATGTGCCAAATAGATATCAACGACTCTTCAATATTGAATTCTTTCACAATTGCTCAATGCCTAATTGTCGCACTCATGAAAATATTGTTTTCATCTTTAACTCATTGCGGCAGAGTTCACGAGGAGTATCAGTATGACGAAAGTGGAGGGCCCGTCGGGTTATGAGTGGGGGCGGTAAACGAGAAGCACGGAGGAGCATGCACACTAGTATGAAGAGAGATAAGTTGAGGAAAAATTATTAAACGTCTAATTTTAAGACACTCGAAATTTCAGTCATCACGAAGTTACCCGATAAGACACATTATTGTGTCAAATCTGTTAAATTAAAACGTGCAGTTACTGCACGGAGAAAAAAGTTGGAGCAACCTCGGTTTCCAGTACTTTTTCACTTATATTCGTGAAAAAGTGCGAGATGAACAGTGATAGTCATTGATTGATAGTTAATTATTATCAATTTTTAACATAAATCTTAAAAATTTTAAATATTAAATTAACCATCAATTTGTACATTCAAATTTGAAATGATCTATTAACCAATAATTTAGGTAGGAAGATTGACGATTATTTGGATAATCGAACATCAAGTAACTAAATTTAGAATTAGCTTGTTAATTAAACATTACATTTCAATATTATCAAATATTTTATTTACCAGCAATCGGAAAAATTTCGTTATTAAATTTTATATTCTAAATTTGTTAAATATAGTAAAACTTTGAACAATATAAGGAGATAATCCTTCTTAATATTGTCAAAATCTAATATTATTGGCGACTAATGGAGACTAATGTGAATTTTTCTCCGTTGGCCCAGGAAAATTTACTGAACGTAACCAAGGCTAGCCATATTCATAAATAATAATTACTGTTAAATTTTGAAGCCATTAATTAGTTAACATCCCTCAAACTTTCAATTATCCAAGTAATCATCAGTTTAAATATTAAAATTTTAAGTATTTTATTAAGCAATAATTTAGGTAGGAAGATTTCCGATTATTTGGTTAACCAATAATCCTTTTTAAAAAATTAGAAATATTCAGTTAATGGAAAATTTACAGTTCTATATTATCAAATATTCATCATCAATCGGAAATTTAAGCTATTAATATTATATTATTTTTAAATTTTAATGAGTATCTTTATGTTTAAGCATTTATCACACTGTTAGAAAATTACTCTTGAAATTTCAAATACAAAATCTTGAAATTTTTACCAAGGAATAATGTACATGGAATTTCCATTCATCTTGTTATTGATAAAGCCGTCAATGCTCTTGAATATTCAATGAAATTTGATTTCTCAGGTCCATACGACAATGAAAATTACTGAAAATCGTGACAACTCAGGCAGATTTTCTTCTGACCATCCAATCTGTTGCTTAATTTTCGCGACAGGTTTGAAAATCCAAATTGTCATTGGAAATTCCCTGATCATTCATAACGAAAAACTTAATTTTATTGAATTTCCAAAATAAATCAGGAATTCCATGAGCAATTTAGTCTGAGACTGAATTCAAGTTCAGAATATTCAAAATTCAAACGCATCTGTTACATGAATTTCAAAAAATTCCTAAAGTGCAATGTACCCTAGTGGAAAAACCTAAGGCAGAGGCGTAACATGCCTGATCAGAATTTCGGATCGGACTTGATCAGTTTCTGATCGAGACCTGAACAGAATTTCCACTCGGGTAAGTCGCAAATCCTTCTAAGATTGAAGAAATATAACATTGCTGTCCATCCCTGAACGTGTGGGTAATTTGTGCCGAAAGTTTAAAATTTAGGATGATTTTGTACTGAATGCGTTCGGTAAAATTTTATTTCCATTCGTCAGCGTACAAGAGGATAATTTTTGCATCTGGAGAAAGGTTTCTTTAGCAAACGAATCTTACAATCTTAAAATGTCCTCCACAAACAGGTATTTTTTTTATTGAAATTACATTTCACTTTACGATTACCTTTCGTGCAGTAAAATTGGCCACGATTATAATCTCCTCACTTAAAAAATCACATTTTCCTCTCAATAATTTCCACCTCCCTCATCTCCACACAAACCCAAAAGTCTCCAATCAATGCCTCCAAAGCCCAAGGTATTCTCGCCTCGTTACCCCATCTGTCACCGAGCACTAAACCAAACGAACCGTATCTCGATTTCGGTTTCTGGAAGATAGAGGGGTAGAAGCCCTCGATTAGCATCATCTTGAGACATTCCACGTCACAGTGACTACCTCCTCGCAGCATTCATATGCAAAACCAAATCGAATGGTGACCGCTGGATTTGCATAACGCTAGATTTTCCGTGATTTCCTGGGCCCCGGGCATCACCAAGGAGACTCGCAATATCTCCCTGGATAAATCTGGTCACATTTTGCACGTTATACACTCCTAAATCTGCAGAAATTCAACGAGATGTATCTGCGGTTTGTGCACCCTCTTCCATTGAATATTCAAGTGGCTATAAATTCAATGGAACGGCAAGTCGTTATGCATACGTGTCATGGTCAAGAAATAAATAATAGACAGACCATAATACTCCGAAGGCACTTCAAATTAAAGATTCAGTTTTCCGTATTGATTGATTTTTGTTTACGCTGCAAAAATTAGTGTCTTTTGGACGTCTCAATTTAAGTATTTGAAGAAAATAAAGGAGGCATCGTAAAATTTCTGGAATGCATGTCTCATTGTTTTCATTTGAGACACCAAAAATTACTTACGTTTCGGGAGACAAACAAGTCGTTATATTTACATGTCATGGTCAAGAAATAAATGATAGACAGGCCAAAATACTCGGAAAGCACTTTAAATTAACTATTCAGTTTTCCGTATTGATTGAATTTTGTTTACGGTGCAAAAATTAGTGTTTTTAAGACGTCTCAATTTAAGTACTTCGAAAAAGAAGTGAGACATCGTGAAATTTCTGGAATGCATGGCTCAATGTCTTAATTTGAGACACCAAAAATTACCTAAGTTTCGGGAGACAAACAAGTCGTTATGCATAAATAAATAATAAACAGTTAAAAATACTTCGACAGCACTTCAAATTAACGATTCAATTTTCCGTATTGATTGATCTTTGTTTAAGCTGCAAAAAGTAGTGTCTTTAGGAAGTCTCAATTTATTTATTTCATTAAAATAAATAAATCGTTTTTTTGTTTATTTTTCATTTTATTTATTTATTTATTTTTTAATTAATGAGACATCGTATAACATCTGGAATGCATGGCTCAATGTCTTAATTTCAAGACTTCGTGGAAAAATCAAAGAGACCCGTAAATTTCAGTTCCATTTTTCCCTGAAAATAAATAGAAAACCAGAAAATTCCGGTAAATATATTCTGAAATTCTCCGGACAGTGACACTGAATGCGATTTAGGGGGAAGAAAGTCATGGAATTTCAGCTTTCACTGAAAATTGTATAGAATTTAGCACTGAATATGCATATTAGATTGGAAATTCAAATAAATCAAAGAATTATCCGGTGGCCTGGCGCAGTGGGTCAGTTCATTGTCTCACATGCGAAAAGTTCCGAGTTCAAATCCCGGCCGGGTAGAATGGTGCGATCTAACCATTTAAAGTCTTGATCATCATCGCAGTATACCCTAACCGGGTCGCAGCGATGTAAAATAACGATTAAAAAAAATCAAGGAATTCCTATCTTTATCCTGCTTAAAATTCTGGAATTTCACTGTCCTAAAAAGGACTTTTCAAACAGCCTAAATCTTCCCATCTTTTCCATCAGCGTAGAGAATCGATCTATACAACTTCCGAAAATAATCTAATAACGCTAGCAATTATCTCTCTCTGAATTCAATATTTTCCCTCAAGCATGAACGATCTCGGTCGTTTAATCCCCAGTATAAACATCTCTTTCTTCCTCCACACGTACATGACCCCATGGCAACACTCTCCGTTAATACGTTCGCATTCAGTGGCACCGAGAAATATCCGCGGAGCCGTGAAACTCGGCATTAGCCGAGGGAACCCCCAGCACATACGTGCCATAACAAATGATCGTCTCGCTCCCTTAATGGTTTTCCATGAACATTCAACTTCTACTTGGTGTACGACGACTCACGGATAAACGTCGCCCTTTGATCGATTACCTTTTGTCACACCACTTTACTCACTCGTTGGAGAATGATATTTTTTAATCAAAATTTTGCACCGTCCACTTGTTCTCCGTCTCATCAGAAAGATACTCTTCACGATTTAAAGTTCCATTCCCCGGGGGGAGTTGGGGCTAAAAGCCGCGGGCTCGGGTTATAATACTCTTGGCAGTTGGATTGACGTTATGTAGAACCGACGCTTATGTAGGTGGCGTCCTCTGGCTCAATGGGATTCGGATGTGTATGGTGTGCAGGAGTGAGTTTCTCTCCCTCGTATAATGACCACTGCCGATCCGGGTCTTCCGGGGGGTGAGGATTTTGGGGAACAACACACATACTTGGAGGATGCTATAATTAAATCCGTTAATCAAGGCTTACGATTGTGAGTGACCCTATCAGCTTGGGTTAGTGTGATGGGAGATTGAGGATTTACTAGCCTTTTCTCATGAGATTTGCCAATGATTATGCAATTTATTTTAGTTTTATTTTCATCGCACATCATTTGCACTGCACGGAGAGAAATTTTCAGTAAAAATTACGGAACTCACAGCTCGCTCACCGATTACAGAATCGACTCAGAAAAATTAAGTGACGGTATCGTAATTTTTCACAAGAGATTCAGGTAAAAATTACGGAACCCTCTGGAAAAATTCCATGATTTTAGGTAAAAATTACATGACAGTTCCGGAAAATTTCCTAC